AGTTTCTGTGGGTTAATGTGGGTCACTCTGGCCTTCAGCAAACTGGAACAGATGCTTCCTCTTATCTCCATGATGACACGTCTCAAAAAGAACCAAACAGGATATCATGTTCCCTTAAGAGGATTAAACACAAAGTAAAGTGGGCCAAGAAACCATAAGCAGCCGACTCATGGACAAAATAAGCAGCAGCACCATTGGATTTGTTGCTGTTGTTGGCGTGCGTGATTCTTGAGAGACAATGGAGTGCGCCCCTGGGGGTGAAGTCAACCCTCTGTGTTAGCACCAAAGTGACCTCTTTTGGGGGCAAGCCTGGGCATTATGTATGGAGGTCCTGGGGTTCCCAGATGATAAGACCTTTCAGTTTCACTGATGGGTCCAAAGAAAAGCAGTGCAAAACAATTGGCACCAGCATGGCTGCAGGAGTTGCTGGAAGGAGGCATACAAGACTCCATCCAACCATCTTAGGGACTGCACTCTGGATCAGTGTAAGGTTTACTCCCTAGCCTTTTCTTCTCCCCACAATATCTTACAAAGCAGCAGAGTTTAGGATAAGAGTTTTCCTTCTTTTTGATGGACTACTTTTCTAGGTTGATGAGCCCCATCTACCTCTCACTTCCCTCTACAGTAAGAGCAAAACCACCTTCTTGACTGTTGGATCATCTCTTGATCTCGTCTGTATGGTTAGAATTTTGCTTCTAAAACATAATTCCAACCAATACTTCCAAATAAAGCAATAGCTTGAATTCTTTTTGGTGCATGGAAGCATACAGATAAGTCCCGACCTGACTTAATTTGACTGCAGTCTGTGCTTCCTTCACTTTTACAATCATCATTTCTCCAATAAACTCATGTAATGAAGACCTGCTTCCCATTGCAAAGAAGGTGTAGAAGGGCTGAAAAAGGGTGAGTCCTTATTATCTCCCCCCTAGAACATTTCTCTCTCTCTGTGTGTGTATGTGTTACAAGGAAAATTTGGGTCACAGTAGTCTAGATTATGTACTGAATTGATCCAGTTAAGGCTGATTGAGGCTTTGATCAGAGTGGGTTGAGGCAAAGCCTGGTCAGGCCCATCTGGAGTGAAGCAAGGTTGTCAGAGGGTGAAGGGCTGCATCTTGTCTCAGCCACCTCCTGGTCTTCTACCATGATGCATCTTCTGCAGGACAGGAAGGCTTGCACCATTTGGGATGACAAGGACAAGATGCCATCTCAGACTGGTCTCAGCACCACTCCTTTATGCTCATTGCTCCCAGCCTGTTCATCCTCGCTGCCACTCACATCAGCACATTTACTGCAGCTCTGACTCCTGTTGCAGAGTGTGGGAAGGAAGCCAGGGAAGGTGTTGGTGGCTGGAGTGCAGCCTGTTAGGGACCACAACCCTAGTATTTTCCTCCTTGGACACAAAGTCCACAGCCCACTGCAACTCCATCTTTCCCCCTGAACTGACCATATGTTTAAAACCCTGATTAACATTAGGGCTGCTCCCTGATTCATTTTGGGACATAAATCCAGGTCATGCTGGGTCAGCCATGGATTACCCCAGGCCAGATCAGGCCATGCACAGCCCTAGATAATGACTTTGTCTCCATTCCACCCAGTGCTTTTCCCTCCAGGGGGTACTCAAGGGTACACAGTACCAGCACCTCTTTTGTTGTTGTTAAAAAGTGTGGCACTTACTGTAACAACATCATGGTGAGTACCAGCACCTATTTTTCTAGGAAAAGAACACTGATCCCACCTATCCTGCAAAGAGTTGCAATGAATTACAATGACTGACATATGAAGGGGAACTTAATTGATTCCCTCTGTCCAGGGCCCCAAAGAACCAGTGATTCTGTATCCAATGAGTAGAGAGATTACAACAAAGAAGACAACCTGTAGTTTTTATCCTACAAGTCCCAATTCACAAAAATAATTGCAAAATGATTAAGTAGAAATAAGCATTTATTATAGAGAGAGACTGTGTCCACTTTCTAAACAGAAAGAGCTCATTAAATTAGGAAACACTGTGCTACCAGTTGCTTCTCTCGCTACCAGAGCATGCTCAAAGTTCTCTCTATGCTGAAAGCTAGGGAGATCTGGCCTTCATGAAAACAGGTCTGGGCATGCTCAGAACAGACAGATGATTCTATCAGGGTTGTTGGGGCATCTCCTTGGAATGTCCTCTTGACAACAAGAGAGAGAGAGAGAGAGAGAGAGACTGCTCAAATGGGGTTGAAAAGTTAGCAGTCCTCTTAGAGAAACATGGAAGGGATAATAATAATAATAATAATAATAATATTGCAATACTTTTGGATTAGGACTGGCAGCAGCATTTTCCTCCCTTCCTCTGCCTTCAAGATATCTGGAGCTTAAATTATAGGAGCACAAATACACTTTCTCTGTTCTAGTGAAGGGTCTTGGCCAATAACTGATTGTTGAGAATATTTTCAACATCTATCTAAACTTTAGCCTCAATTCCTCACCCCTTTTTGGTAATAGGGATGCAGCTTAGGCCCTGGTAAAGTGTAACACCCCACCTCACTGTGAAGTGCTTGGGCCCTGGCAAATTTTAGAGATAACATTGAATTATGGGTAAAAAGGAAATGTTTTTACAGTAACTGGGTGTAATTTAGACACTGCATAAGGATTACTCCTGAACGAGAAACTAATGACAAATACTATTGGCAAAGTTTAGTGACTGAATGACCAGGTGACCACATTGTTCAAGAGACTGAAGGTTTTACTCCATTTTCAGAGGCAGTCTCCTTTTATCTTGATAATGACACGTCTCAAAAAGAACCAAACAGGATATCATGTTCCCTTAAGAGGATCAAACACAAAGCAGGGTGGGCCAAGAAACCGCAACCAACCCACTAATGGACAAAATAAGCAGCACCATGGGATTTGTTGTTGTTGTTGTTGTTGGCATCCGTGTTTCTCGAGAGACAATGGAGTGCGCCCCTGGGGTGAAGTCACACCTTTGTGTTAGCACCGAAGTGACCTGTTTTGGGGGGCAAGCCTGGGCAGTGTGTATGGAGGTCCTGGAGGACAAGACCCCCCTCTCAGCTTCACTTATGAGGTCCAAATGAAAGCAGAACAATACATTTGGCATAAGTATGGCTGCAGGAGTTGCTGGAAGGAGGCATACGCCATCCAATCGTCTTAGGGACTGCACTCTGGATTTGTTTACGCCTTAGCCTTTTCTTCTTCCCACGATATCTCACAAGGCAGCAGAGTTTAGGATAAGAGTTTTCCTTCTCTTAGATGGGCTACCCTTCTAGGTTGATGAGCCCCATCAGCCCCTCACTTCCCTCTACTGTAAGTGCAGAAACCGCCTTCTTGACTGTTGGATCCTCTTTGATCTTGTCTGTATGGTTAGAATTTTGCTCTAAAAAATAATTACAACTGATATTTCCAAATAAAGCAGTAGCTTTAATTCTTTTTGCCGCATGGAAGCATACAGATTTGTCCCAAATGACTTAATTTGGCTCCAATTGGTGCTTCCTTCACCTTTACAATCATCATTTCTCCAATAAACTCATGTAATGAAGACCTGCCTCCCATTGCAAAGAAGGTGTGGAAGGGCTGAAAAAGAAAGAGTGAGTCATTGATATCTTCCCCCTAGAATCTCCCTCCCCCCCTCTTTCTCTGCCTGTGTGTGTGTGTGTGTTACAAGGAACATAAAATTTGGATCACAGTAGTCCAGATTATGAACTGAATTGCTCATGTACAGGACAATAATTATGATTGGACCAAGAGATTGTAATGCTAATGATTCTGAAACTAAGAGAGTATCGGATCCCGCACTGAATTTTCCTGGATTGGATTCAACTTCCATATGAAAGTGATGCTTTTTTAAGGTCATGTAGATGAATGCAATTAAGCAAGCATTGTCCTCATTCTAAACAGGAGCACACATTTTATCCTCCACAACTTCATTTCAGACATAAGGACTTTGTGGAGAGTGGAGGTGCTTGCTTCTCATTGCTGATCTGTGGGTCAAGGGTGGTATACAGATTATAATAACAGCAGCAGCAGCAGAAGCAGCAGTAGCAGCAGCAGCAGCAGCATGAACCCAACCTGCATCTTGAAAAGAACGGAACCATTTGCACAGAGTCATTACACACAGTCAATTAAAATGAATGTATACCTTTAACCCTTATCCCCAATAAAGAACTTGTCACACCAGGAAGAAGGAAAAGGCTGGTTTATTACATGGAAAAGCAAAGAATGAATATGTTCTGCTTTAGACAGCCTGTTAAAAAACCTGCAGGCAGCAAAATGATCATGGTTACATTCACACACCTTATTTCTGTAGAGCAAAAGTGTCCCTAGGTACCTAAAAGCCCAGAGGGTGAGTGCAGGGACAGGACGCTAGCTGGTCTCTCCATAAAAGATAGGAAATGTATTGGAGTCACAGAGAGTTCATGAAATGTATTTGGAAAAGAGAGCCTTCTTTCATTGGCTGTTGCTGCTGGCAGGGTTGAGGAGAATGAAGGGTGTCATTTCCCCAGCTGGAAACATGAACTAGGAGGGAGGCTTGGTGAAATGCAAAGAGAAGAGAGGGGGCTGGCAAGATGCAAATGGGGAGAAGGGGGTTTGGTAGGGTGAGGGTTTGGTAGGTTGCAAAGGGAGGGCTTAATGCAATGGGTGATTTGTAGGTGGGATTGGTGAGTAAGTTGAGGAGGGCAGGCAGCCCCTAGTAATAGAATACAATGTAATAAAAAGAAGCAATATGTATAAACGTGAAAACTCTGCAACATCTAGCACAATTGCTACAACAGACAAATCATTAGGTTGCCCTCCAAGATCCTCAGCAATTTGCAGGTGGCCAGTGGATGTAACAGGAATCTATGGTCGTCTGCTATATACAGTAGGAACTTTCCTCCATGAGGCTCCCTTGGAATGAAGTGAACAGAAGTTGATAACAGGTGTGCCTGTTTTAAAGAGCCAGGCCAACATCCCAGACTGAAAAAGGAGACAACCGAAAGGAGCAGACCATATGCATTTGTGGGGGGTCTTCAGATGGCCTTCATGTCCCTGTTGCAGAAATCAAAATTACCGCAGCAGATATTACTCACCACAAACTTCTCATTTTCATTGCTAACAGATGTCACCTCATAGCCAATGCCACACATTTCATGATTTTCAGCGCAGTAGGTCAGTCTCCATACAGGTTTCTTATCTATGAGGGTAGTGGGTAGCATCAATTGGAACAGAAAATGAGTACAAGCATTAATGTTTCTGTTCCCTGATTGCCATTTATACTTCATATAGTTACTTATGTTTCAAAACACATTCCATACAACCCTTTTTATCATCAAAACAGTAGGGGACACTTGCTTCCATTGTATAGATGTGATAAAGCAAGGAAAATTCAGCATTGCACAACTGAGAGTGCATTGATAACTCAGCTGTAGGTCACGAAAATGTTTCGTATGAAGCTTCAATCCGTAGCATATCCAAGTAAGAAGGATAAAGTGGCAAATGGGATGTTTTGCCCCATCAAATAAACCAAAGGGCATGGAACTGGTGTTTACTACTGTGCCAATTCATGTACCAATATCTGAAATCACTGAAATTTGCATGGGCAATATTTTACACCAATGTTTACCATGGCAGTGGTGGGAAGGTCTATGGCAGGGGTCCTCAAACTTTTTAAACAGGGGGCCGGTTCACTGTCCCTCAGACACTGTTGGGGGCTGCTGAGATAAACCCGGTGGGCCTGTAGTTTAAGGACCCCTGCCTTAGAGGGTCACAACCTTGTCATGAGAGGTGATGGCCATTTCCTGTTTGTCTCTAGAAACACATGGTACGCACAGGTACACTGCCTCTAAAAATTCTAAAGTTCCATTTAGCTACCAGAAGCCTATGTAGTGTTCACATTACATCTGACTTAAGAGGCAGGCTCAAATCCACACATGAAGTTCACAGGGTGATCTCAAGCCAGTCTTTGAGCCTGAACTCTCTTACAGGGCTGTGGCAAGAATAAAACAGAATGGAGAGAAGAAAGAAGAAGAGCTATGCACCCTGAACTCCTTGAGAAAAGGATAGGATTAAAATGACAGACGACTAGAAAACCCCTCCAGGAATTTGTCTTCTTGTGATTTTTTTTTTTTTAACAAAGCATCACCAACACCACCACTAAAAGAAGAGCACAACTGGGCTTAACTTAATGTCAGCCGCGGAAGAGTCATCCTCGCCCCTCCAGCTCCATCATTCTCATCATTGTCAGCCCTCTTATCCTGTTCCTCATAGGAACACCAGATGAGCCCTGCTGGATCAGGCCAATGGCCCATCTAATCCAGCATCCTGTCTTCCCAGTGGCCACCCAATGCCTGTGGGAAACCCCCGTGAGCAGGATTCGAGCACCTTCCGATTCCCATCAACCAGCATTCAGAAGTCCTGCTGCCTCCGACCCTCCCAGGACGCACGCAAATAAATCCCCCCCAACCTCACACTTTCCACTTAGCCTTGGGCACAATCTCCCTCCCTCCCCAGCCAGGTGCCTCTTGCAAGTATGACTAGAATAAGCCCCTTCTGACCCCCACCCCTGCCTCAGCTTCCTTTTCCCCAGGCCTACCAGAAACACGGCTCTATCCATGTTTTTACTTGCCTTCTTCCCTCCATGCTTCGCCATGTTTCTTCCTGTTCCTCAGTTTGTCATGTAGAGACACTGTCAGGAGAAATGGTGGGATAGAAATCAATATACAATGTGAGGGCCCTGTTCCCACCCTCACCGCCTCTGCCAGGCTCACGCTTCCCCAAAATTCACCTCATGGGGAGGGGAGGGAGGGCATCCTTTCCCCCTGCCCGGAAGTTGGTGATATCAGTGCCACATCCGCCCCCCTGCTGCTGCTGCCAGTGAGGAAACACAAAAGCGCCGGTGCATTACCTCTCTCCACCCTTTCTCTTTTTATTTTAAATTTCCATGGAGCCCCAGAGAACAAGGGCTCATGTGTACCTGTGTGAGAGCGAATTGCTTTGTTCCATCCGTCCGAGAGTTCCCGGATGCAGCACCCCCATTTTTTCTTTGCTCCTTTCACTCAGGTGTGTGTCCTGCCCAGTGCTCATGCATGAATCCCCTCAATGCCCAGTTTGTACTCTTGTGCCAAAATTCCAAAAGGCCCCGCCCACTTCCACGTCCTGACCACACCTCAGTGGTGGGTGTGCATGCATGTGTAAAAGGCAACGGGCCAAAGGGACTAAGCACATGCGTTCGTTCTTTTCAACGGAATTGCCGCACCACGCTGGGTTTACCTTGCCATGCTTCCTGCGGCCAGTCGGAAGCCTCGCTGCCCACTCAGTCAGTTCCCGCCCACTGAGGTAAACCCAGTGTGGTGTTTCAGTCAGTCAGCAGCGTTTCGCTCAGTCAGTCCCCGCATGCTGAGGTAAACCCGGTGCGGCGTTTTGGCCAGCGGGCTGGATTTATAAGCCTGGCGGACCAGATCCAACCCACGGACCGTAGTTTGAGGACCCCTGGTCTATGGGAACAGTTAACAACGCATCCAGGGAAGGATGAGAGATTTCTGATACTTCTCAGTGGCTCCAGATGTCAAAAAAGCATATCTGACGGGAAAATCCAGCATTTAATCATAGTGAATTGTTTCCCACAGATTTTGGAAGGGGTTGTTAAGCAATCTTTGTTTATCATATAGATCTATGTCTTCCCGTATGCAATTCAACGTAGAGATCTGCATTGTATATTGGAAAAAATCTAGGAGTGGAAAAAGGAACCAGCCCCACCAATTACCCTTGGGGTGAGATGGTTAATGCTGAGGATATTGTCTCCACCACCATCTTTCCTGGAGATTTATGTGTTGGGATTCGCAGGATACTGAGTAAGTCTGCAGGCTTCAACAGGATGATGCAATACTCTGTGAAGTGCTGGGTCAGAGTGACTCAGCAGGAGTGTGATTAATGTGATTGGCTATCACCTGTTTTAAAAAGGAAAGCCTGTTCAACAGTAACTGTGGTTGTGGTGGTTGTGCTGTGGTGGTGGTGCTGTGGTGGAGAGTATTCATTTGCCTTAAGGAGCAGGTACTCTGTATGGACTGTTTTTGTAAATACCTGTATATAGCTCACATTAAAAAGACTGCACTGGAAAACCCTGGGACTCTGAGCGTTTCTGCTAAAAGCACCGCGAGGAATCGCGACATTATGCTCCTTTTGCACCACCCTCTTTTCCCCAGCCGGAAAATGGTACCGCCTATTGCAGCTGCCCAAACTACTGCAGCTGCCATTTCGAAATTGGGAGAGAAGGAAAAGCTTATAGACTTTTCAAAGGTGTCCTGCAAGCAAACCTCTGGATCCCAACACCTTGGAAGTCCTAATGGGGCTCTTGCCCCTCTAGTGGGGCTCTTGCCCCTCCAAATTGCATCCACTCTGAGCAAAAGAAGGAAAAGTTATAACCATTGCTATATTTGCCCTTATCATGAATGGGAAGCACTGAGCTTCATTTTATACACAGTGACTCAAGAGCCAGATTATGGACTAAAGCAGTGCTAATTTTCTGGAAAAGGTTGTGCTGGAAATCACCATGAATGCCTTCCTCGTTCTCTTATAATGGCAGTGGTATCTACCTGAGAGGGGTCCAGCTGAAAAAAAGTTCTGGACTAAAGCACAGAGAACACAGAGCATCTCAGAAGCTGACTGATTACAAAAAAAGGACAAAGAATGCAGGTAAAAGGTAAATCTTGGGATCCTTCCACACTTACCGAAAGGCCACATTGTATAGACAAGACACGTCCCATTTTCTGAGTTGGTTTCACAGGTTTTATTAACTTCATTTGGAGTACGTGAGTTGGATAGTTCACATTTCAGGGTGTCTGCTCCAAAATAATAATAATAATAATAATAATAATAATAATAATAATAATAATAATAATACAAAAAAGAAAACAAATCCCCACTATTGTAATTAAAGTATTGAGCTTTGAGTGAGAATGAAAAAAATAACTTTTATTTGGTAGCTCTTTGCACTGCATATTCTCTACATGGCTGACAGCACAGAAACTCTAAATCAGAGAAGAAGAAGAAAAAGGTAAAGGTAAAGGACCTCTGACAGTTAAGGCCAGTTGCGAACGACTTTGGGGTTGAGGCATTCATCTCACTTTACTGGCCAAGGGAGCCAACGTTTGTCCACAGACAGTTTTTCCAGGTCATTTGGCCAGCAGGACTAAGCCACTTCTGGCGAAACCAGAGCAGCGCACGGAAACGCTGTTTACCTTCACACCAGAGCGGTACCTATTTATCTACTTGCATTGGCGTGCTTTTGAACTGCTAGGTTGGCAGGAGCTGGGACTAAGCAACCGGAGCTCACCCCGTCGCAGGGATTCAAACTGCCAACCTTCTGATCGGAAAGCCCTAGGCTCAGTGGTTTAGACCACAGTGCCACCCGCGTCTCATAATTAGAGAAACCTTAGCCTAAATACATACAAAAAAATCAAGACTTTGCAATGCCCTGGTTTTCTTGAGGCAAGGAACTTACCTCCAAGTCGAAAGTAGATGACAACATAGAAAGCATCGTATGATGCAAACTTTGGGAAGCATCTTGGAACTGGGAGGGTCCTGCTCACCACAGTGGAGCTCCAGGATACAGAGGAAGGAGTGCTGATCTCCTTTCACTTCCAATAGGATGGACAAGCTGCTTCTTATTGTTTCATTTGCAAGGCGGCTGCTCAGGGACCTCAGAGATCATTCTGTCCCTGTTCCTTGCTTAAATAGAGAGCATAATGGACCATGAAATCACAAACTGGCCATTCACATGCAGGACTGGACATCCCTGAGTGGGGTTTGACAAAATCCCAGCCAGTCCCGATCATGGGTGTGCCGGAGCGCACCCCCCCCCCCAGCCTGGCTGCTGTGGCAGATCACGCCCCCTGGCCTGGCCGCCATGGCAGAGTGTGCCTCCCAGCCTGGCCGCCAGGCCGGATCGCATCCCTGGCTGTGCCACCATGCCAGATTGCGCCCCCCTGGCCAGGTGTGATCACCCCACCCCTTTTTCGGGAGTCACGGGGGGCAGCATGCCATTACCCTGCACTCCTGCCTGGAGGAGGTAGGCAGGCAGGCAGGGGAGAGAATGGGAAAGAGGCAGGCGAACAAAAACAGAGGGGGTGGGAGTGGGCGCCTCAGGCCCCATCTTGTCCCTCCCTATGGGCAGTTCACACTGCCCCAGGTGCCATAGAGGTTTTCTCCGCCACTGACTGGACTTATACAGTGTCATGTGAGTTGGACTCAAACAGGGACAGTATAAGATGTTAAGCAAGAAAAGTGGGGAGAGAGAATTTGCACGTGTGCTTTATTGGTTATGGTTGTCCCAGTGATTAAAAAAACCCCTACAGTATAGCCCATAGTCCAAGTAATGGTTGCCCACACTTGTAGTAGAACCAACCAGCCCTTGAGTGGTGAGGGGGGCAGCATTAGGTCAGGGGTGACTTTTACTGCCCTGAATTCTCCCCATCACCCGAATTTCCTCCTTCCTGGTTTCACAGCCTGTGAATGATGTCAGTGGAGAACATATTGGAATCAGGAGGATTGTGTTGCCGCAGCAGAACTCCAGGATGCAGAAGGAGGAGCACTCATCTACACTCACTCCCAGCATGATGGACAAGCTTCTTCCTTTTATTGCATTGACAACATGACTGCACAGGCACCTTGAGGATAATTTTGTCCTTCTTCCTTGCATGGGTGAAGAGAGTTGTGGGCTCTGAAATCACAAACTGGTCACTCACATAGAGTACATAGGTGAAGATTGGGCTGATGGGTTGCAATGTGCATGTGACTAAAACAGGGCTTGTACAGGGTGTATCCCTGTTCTAGAAAGAAATGCTTATCTTATCTCGAGCCACAATGTTCTTGGAGATACTGTATTACATTCTCATCCAGTAAGACAGACAAGCTGCTTCTTATTATCTCATTGAGGACATGGCTGCACCAGCAGCTCAAGGGTCATTTTGCCTCTACTCGTTGCATGGACAGTGAGTCTAATGGGCTATGAAATCACAAACTGTCTGTGTATGTACAGTGGGTTGAGACACAGCCTGATTAGGCTCATCCGGAGTGAACCTCAGTTGTCAGAGGATGGGGGGCTGGTCATGCAGTGGGAGTGGAAAGGAGACCTTGCATCTTGTCTGAGCCACCTCCTGCTCTTCTACCACGAGGTATCTTCTGCAGGACAGGAAGGCTTGCACCATTGGGGATGACAATGACAGGATGTCATCTCAGCCTGTTCTCCTCAGCATCGCGCACCGCTCACTTATGCTCATTGCTCCCAGTCTGTTCAGCCCTTCTGCCACTCACGGCAGCACATTTACTGCAGCTCTGACTCCTGTTGCAGAGTGTGGGAAGGAAGCCAGGGAAGGTGGTGGCAACAGGAGTGCAGGATGAAAGAGGATCAAAGAGAATACAGCGTGGTCCAATCAGCCCACTTGTGGACGAAATGAGCAGCTGTGATACATACAGCCCCACAATCATGAGTATATATAATAATGATTAATTCATGAATCATATTTTAAATGAATTATAGCAGTCCAAAACTGATCCCACTAAAGTTTATAAATTATTCCCATATATACCAGTAATTTGGGATAAAAGCATCCCCCCTCCATTGCTATCTTGCAACTGAATGTTATCTGTAAACTTTGGCAGTACCCAAACATTCAGAGGAGGGGGAACTATGACTAAATTTTAGGTATTGCTTGAGAATATTTATGGAAACCTATTTACTGATATTTTATCTGTCTATCTATTGAGCAGATCACATGAGAATTCAGCTATCAAGCTGAGGATTTGGGTACCTGGCTGACAACATGTCATCTGCACAGAGCGCCCGTTTGCTACCTAATTGACAAAGCCCTGGACAACTTAGGTTCAAGGTACCTTAGGGACTGCCTGAGCGCTTGTGGACACATGGTCCACCAATAAGGTTGTCTTGTAGTTTGAGAGACAGAGAGATTTGTGCATCTGAAGAACTCTACTCCCAGAATTCCTTGTGCACGTGCAGGAGCAGCAGGAAGGGAAAGCTGGTGAGAGGAACAAAGCACCATAACAATAAGGGACAGTGGAGGATGTGCTACTAGTGTTTCTGTTAGCGCTGCTCTCCTCTACCCATGTGTCCCCAGTGTCTTCCCCACATCTGTTCTGGAGGGTTAATGGGAGTGGAGATGCAAAACACATTGGACAGTAGCACAGAAAGAGGAGAGAAAGTGTTGTTGCACAGGCATAAATCTTTGCATTAATGGGATGATTTTGCTGGATCTAAACCCTATGATTGACTGAATGGTGACTTCTTCACATATTATGCCAGCTTTTGTGCATTCATTGCTATGCACTGAATTTCACCAGAGAGTTTTTGCACACAGCTGCAACAGATGGAATTAAGTATTTAGATAGATTCCCCCCTCCCCCATGGTTTATTTTATTTTACAACATAAAAGAGAGAGAATGGAGTTTGTGGGTGAAGTCAAACCTCTGTGTTAGCAGCACTGAAGTGACCTCCTTGGGGGGCAAGCCTGGGCAGTGTATATGGAGGTCCTGGGCTGCTCATATGAGAAGACCCCCATCTCAGCCTTACTGATGTGGTCCAAAGGAGAGCAGAGCAATATGTTTGGCGCCAGTTTGGCTGCAGGAGTTGCCAGAAGGATGCGTACAAGACACTATCCAACCATCTTAGGGACTTCACTCTGGATTTGTGCAGGGTTTACTCCTTAGTCTTTTCTTCTCCCCACAATATCTTACAAGGCAGCAGATGTTTAGGATCAGAGTGATTAGCACATCTATGGGGTGATTTATGTGCATGAAGGAAATGAACTCCTTCTCATGTCTAGTTTCTTCAAGGAATCCTTTCATATGCATCTGCTTGGCCTTGTTTCTCTCTGCTCTTAGCCAAGTGTGCTTTTTGTCAGCTCCCCCATGACAGCAGCTCAAATAGCACAGGCAATATGCATGGTACTGTAGAATGTGATGCCCTATGGACCATACGGACTATAGACCATATAGTCCGTATGGTGAGGGCATTGCTGGTGAACAGATAGACAAATATTGTTTGCTTTCATAACCAAACTGATAGGTTTTTGCCTATCAGCTAGGTCAGGCATAGGCAAACTCCGGCCCTCCAGCTGTTTTGGGACTACAACTCCCATCATCCCTAGCTAACAGGACCAGTGGTCAGGGATGATGGGACTTGTAGTCCTCAAACTTCTGGAGGGATGGAGTTTGCCTATGCTGGAGCTAGGTACACAAAGCTCCTTTCATTAATATTAGGAAGTTGCATTCAGTCCTCGACACCACTCCAAAAAGGACAATAAACAGAGTACACAAAGCACATTGTACTTATTTAAATGGTACAGTTGGAAAGCAGAATAATCCAGCCTGACCAGTGACCAGTTTCTGTCTGTCCCCATAAAATGTACCTCCACTATCATTTTCATCTGCTGTAAGAAGTGTACTGTTGCAAAAGTGTACGCTTTCCAATAGACCACATTAATTGGCAGCCCAAGAACTAGAAAGTTCATATCAGGTCAGTGGACGGCCAACCTGACTACTTGGTTGATTTATCAGGGTGCAAAAGCACCGTGCAAAAATTTTCTAAGAAAAAATTCAGCTGCCCACCCCCCCAGATTTTGGAGCTCTGGGTTACCAGATCTTGTTTCCAAGATGAATCCACTTTAGAAAGCAGAGCAAAATGTGGCCCTCATTTCCTTACTACCCTGTTCAATAGAGGCTGCTAC